CAAAGTCCAGTGTCAGAATGAATAGTGAGGGGATACAAACGTCGACATTTTAGTAAGGCTAGTGTTGGGTCAATACACTGCTACATTTTCGTATTTTCTTCTTAACACTAGTTAACATATACTTAATTTTGTTTTATTTTTTAATAAATGTAATAATTTAAATAAATCAATTAGAAGTCTTTTGTTTATTAATTTTACAATTGTAACTGTAATCAGTTAAAATGTTATTTTCAAATAAATTTAAAATAGAAAACATTTCAAAGCAACAATAGTCTTCTCTCGTGGAACAGTTCAATCAAAATTTCAAAGACAAATTCAAACAAAGGAAAGCAATTTTAAATCTCTCGGTGTTGGATAAAAGTTGATTGATGATTTTCACTCGCGCCCTGATGACTGCCCGATATAACTTTATTTTGATATATTGTATTATGCATTGCATTTCAAATGTCAAATATCGTTAACACATAATCTTACTATTATTATAAATGAGAATATCTGGATGGATGTTTACATAAAGGTATCTTGAGAACGACCGAACGAATCTCGCTGAAATTTGACATATGTAGGGCATAGTTTGGAAGAAAACATAGGCAACTGATAATATTTTTTTAATTCCGCGCGGACGGAGTCGAGGGCGACAGCTAAGTTTTAAATAAAAATTATTTTAGCATGAATCTCTACTGTCGAAGAAGCCATATATTGTTATCCCTTTTCTGCCTCTTTAAATAAACAGAGATAACGATATGTTTTAAATGCACGAATTGTTGGACTAATGAAAGACATGGAGCATCAATCCAAAGAAGGATAGCGAAGGTGTTCGGTTTAACATCAAAACAATTATTTAGATATTTGCAAGTTATTATTTAAATCAAAATACATTTTGAGAACACAACCCTCGATATACGGACAGCTATAAAAACCTAATAGCTTAACTATCGGACAATGAAAGCGGAACAGAACTTAGTTAATAACTTCGATATTATCTTTATAGATTAATCGCGGTAATGCGATAAAGAGATTGCTTTTACAAGCATAAGGCATATTACGATAAGGGCTTATTGTACAGAGAATGTGTGGAATTCATATACTTGATTCTTTAGCATTAAAAATGTAGTTTTAGATATTATTGAAGATCTGTTAAAAACAAAAGAGGGTTGCAGAAAAGTTTCGTACGGACTTTCATACTTTCATTGTACTAACTTATTTTTTTTTTATTATATATCATAAGGTGGCAAACGAGCGAGCGGCCACCTGAAATCACTGAAATATCGAAGTGATCGTTGCCCATAGACATAGGCAATTGCATATGCGTTGCCTACCTTAAATCGACGGAGGAGAAAATGCACAGAAAGAAAATATCCTCCCTTTCCATGCATCCTCTCATCCGGAAAGTTCACTTCCATTTCCCATCTTTTCCTTATAAGAAAAAGGGTGGGAGGACTAAATTAGGCCTCCGGGATGCACACTCATCAGACTGTACGCGGAATTGCTTCCACTTGACGCCTGTCTTCTGTGTGGTCGTGGTATTTCACCGGACGAGCCGGGCCGATTCGTGCGAAGTGTTAAAGCGGGCTCTACCACTGTTAAAATTGTAAATTTACTACATATAAAAATAGTTTTAATTTGTCTTAGTTGCCTTAAAAACTTTAAGTCTTACCGTGGGTTTCTAAAACTAAAATCTCTAAAAAAACATATTGTCATCTCCTTCATTATCTTTGACAGAGAGATAACAATATGTTTATTACGGGGATTTTGGGTTTAGAAACCCACGGTTAGACGTAATATACCATTTAGTATGTGTAAGTTATGTTTAGTACTTTTAAAGTAATAGTAAAACATTACCAAATAAAGTGAATATCACGCCGTAAGCTTTCAAAGTAAATTCATTCAAGAATAAATGTTGAAAAGTTTGATATGAAACCTCGATATTGAGAAAGTTTTACCCTTGAACTTTCATTTCTTTTGTAACAAAAGATACTGGTTGTTGGAAATTATTTAGAAAAAAAAATATGAATTTAAAGAATCGCATATCAGATTGTAAGCTTGTAAAATTCGTTTTATAAGTAAACTTAAAATGTAAATAGCGTGACATTGTTATATTATGATGACATGGTGGTAATCTAATGATAGCATTGAAAGGTCGTAATAGGAACTTTTCAATAAAACCACACAAACTAATCGAGTTTGGGCTTTGTTTAAAATTTTTGATGCTATTGACTAAAAAGAATAAAAGCTTGTTTAAATTATATGTCTTCCTAAGCGAAGCTTATGAATATATTTCCCTCAAACACCTACACGACTTAGATAGAAACTAGCGGATGCCCCCGACTTTATCTGCACGGTATTAAAAAAAAATATACAATTAGTCTATGTGTACTTTCCAAGTTTTCTGCTATATATGGAGATACCTTCAAACATTCATCCATCCACCTAAACATTGTCCTTTATAACATAACTAGCTGTCGCCTGCGACTCTGTCCGCGCGGAATTTAAAAAACCTTAATTCTTCTAGGCTATGTTCAACTGTTTTTGACATACTTTCTAACAAACATCGATCCATCAAAACATTCGCATTTATAGTAATAAGAAGTGAGATATAAGTATGATATGATAGAAGCACAAGTAATAGAAAAATCTATATACGTGCAAGCTGTGTTCAATGTTATGCTATTCCCCAGTGCAGATCACAGATGCGCCGTGTTATTGGAAAATATTACTCCCAACATATTGCACATTTATATCTTATGACATTTATTACAAAACGTATAAAATACTAGCTGTCGCCCGCGACTTCATTCGCGCGGGATTAAAAATAAATGTTGGCCGATTCTCAGACCTACTCAATATGCTCACAAAATTTCATGAGAATCGGTCAAGCCGTTTCGGAGTAGCATGGGAAAGAAAATTGTGACACGAGAATTTTATATATAAGATAAATTAACATCGATTTTACTATTTTAAATATCTACACTTCAAAAAAAATTTCCAACGTGTTGTAAACACGTTTTGATTTAACAAAACTTTCTTTCTAGTCGTGGTGTGGTATAATTCTAAATGCCAATCATACGAGTAAGCTGATCGTTTAATATTGTTCGAAATAGAATTTGAAACATACTTAAGTAGTACTAATAAATATCACAATCTTATCAATTTCACAACGAAAAGAAGATCAAAATTCATATTAAAACGGCTAAACACTTACGTATATTGGTCCGGTGGCGGCACCGACTATTATTTCGAAAACCCGGCCCGTTACTCACGTGAGTACCAGTACGAATACCAGTCCCACTCACCCTGATGAATGGCCCTCGATGGGCTCTAAACTAGTCGGTGCCGCAACCGGACGAATATACGTGAGTGGTTATCCGTTTTTATATAAGTTTATTAAAATGTCTTACGAAAGTTTGAATAATTTAAGATAAAAATAGATTTTTAACCGATTTCAAAATAGGTCACAACGAGGAGGATCCAATTCGATTCTATGTTTTGTTAGAAAGAAAAACCTACACTGTGCTGGTATATCAGCGCATCAGACCTATTAAAATATCAACGCCTAAGTCCCCTCACTAATCGATCTGACACTTGACTTGGTAACGAAAGTGCGCGATTCGCTCCAAATAATTCCAACTAATACTGTCGAAAAGTTCTATATTTTTTTATTTATATAATGGTTATGTACCTGACTGACATATTTTAACGGTTATTGTCTCGACATGGTCCTATTAATATTGCTTCAAGCTTGAGGCATTTTTGATCCAATTAATGTAATGCTATCATGACCTAAAAAGCCTTATAGTCATACAACTTCCCTCAGAGTTCATATTTTCGATGTCAGCGGTACTTAAAGGTTATTGTTCATCATGGATAGTAATAACGTTCCGGATTAATCAAGTTAAAAGGAATTTGTGCGTTTTACAAGTACCCTACGTGACGCAGTGGGCGGCTCGGAAGTTTGTAATAATTGAATTTGATAGACGTTCCTTTTATTATTAACGCGTAATTAAAATAAGAAATATTAGCAACCTACGTGTTCTTCCAGATTACGAGTTGAGCCATGCTAAATACCTTTTTACTGTTAGGAAGAAACCCAACACTAGTTTACTAAAATGTCGACGTTTGTGTCCCCACACTATTCATTCCGACACTGGACGTTGTAACGAAAGCACGTCATTCTCGCCAAAGGATTCTAATTAATAATGTCTAAAATTACAAACATCCATCCATCCACTCATGCAAATATACAAACATTCACATTTATAATATTAGTAAGATTTATTTCCCTCATCACTATTTAACATCGTTGAATGAAGTTGTTTTTTAAAGTTAATCAAAAGAATTTAAAATGAAACCATCGGAATGAAATTTCGATGAAAAAAAGATGAAAGTGGTATTATAGATTGAAACAATGAAAAAAGCAATTATTTTATAAAATTAAGCAAATACCACAATCCAATCAGGGCCAATGGCCGAACGCGAGATAGATTGCTAACACTGATCCCATTTAAATGGATTTGCCTTGATCTTCCCATTTGTTTTTTAGTTTACAAACATTTTATTACTTTCTGTGTTTTTGTCTTAGTAAATTTAATAGCCTTGCTATTGCTTTTTTTATCACATGGTAGTTACTAAAACTGCTTAAAATCTTTGAAATGTTTTAGCGACATCTAGATTTTAATCTTACTAATATTATTATATAAATGCTACTGTTTGGATGGATGGATGTTTGTTTGAAGGTATCTCCAGAACGTCTGAATGGATCTCGCTGAAATTCGGCATAGATGTAGAACCTGTAACCTGAACCATAATCTGTAAGAGCACATATGCTAATTAAGTTTTCTTTTAATTCAAGCGGACGGAGTCACGGGTGACAACTAGTAGTTACAAAGACTTAACAGTCTTTGAAATATTTTTAACGTGCAGATTTTTATTTCATATAATATTGTACTTAATAATAAAATAAAAGGCCGTGTATACCTTAAAAACAACTTTATTAACTTAAAATTAAAAAAATACAAACTTAAATTATAAATCTACAAATTAAACAAAGTTTTTTTTAGATAATGGATGATCTTTGTGATATTCTTGAGTATTTACGAGATATATAATAGAAAAAGTAAATATAGTACATAATTATTTTAATTATATAACTATGACTTAATTAAGAATATAAGTACATCTATTGGAATGTAATTCTATAAGTTACTAAGTTAATACGAGTTACTAAATATGTTAGTTACTATCGCGGTGTATGTTTTTTTATAAAATTAAAACTGACCTTCATTAATTTTTTTATCTACAATATTCATATTTCTTTTTTTTAATTGCCATGATTAAATGTTGATTTGGACTATAACTATGAACGATGTTATTTTAAGCTTTTACATTATTTTTTTTTAAATAAAGCTTACAAAATTTTTCGTCAATAAAATGTACAAAAGTGAATCTACGAGTAAAACGATTCATTTAGCACATAATTAGATTTGGTAAATATCGTTAACAAACGCAATATATTTGTCTCAAAATTGTTTTTTTTTGTAATTAATAAATATTGTTTTTTTTAATATAATTCACAGTAACTATTGCATTATTTATTTTAAATTTTACATAACTGTTATAAATATTTTCAGGTGTCCCATGTACTGAAAAACAATAAGTATGTAAAATTTGGCTTATTTTATTATAAAGTTAAATAAAGACGGACGATATTTTTTATTGAATATGTGAAAAGTTTAAATTTAGTTTCTTGCCCGTTGACGACCGGGCTGACCGTCTGGGTACTCAGGTCGCTTTTGTTGTTGACCCTGTAAAAGGAATAGATAAATTAATAACAAAGACGTTATAACTAGTTTAAAATAACCAGAGAAATAGGATGGTTCCTCTTATTGATAGTTTTTAACACCTTCAATGGCACTACGATTTCAAATACTAACGTAGATATGATGTCATGCTTCCTATACCCACTTATCGTTATTATGTTTCTTTTGCAGATTTACTACAAGAATAGTGAATTTATTAATTATTAAAATTTAACGTTCTAAACAGAGATATGTCGTCGTTCAATTTGAAACCATATACCGTTGTCTTACCGTCGGTTTCTGACATTTAAATCTCTAGAAAAACATACCATCATCTCTGTCTTTCAAAGATTGTCTATGTTTTAAACGGGGATTTTGGTCTCAGAAGCCCACGATTAATGTTACTTTATACTGTCAATATTATCATAAACTTGTGTAATATTATATTATAATGACTACAATCATTGTCAAAAAATAACAACAATTAATTTCATAACAAGAATTACGGCAGTATTCACGGTTAGCTGTGTTTATATTAAAAACTCTCTCCTACTAGTATCTATTTATTCATAGAATTAAATACAAAACCAGCAAAGAAAAATATCTTACCGGTCTGGAGTTCTCTTCTTCTTCCTGGGGTGACAGGGTAGTGGTAGGAATCTCACACTCGTCAGTCGGTGGTACCACACACCTCAGTGATCGCCTGTCAAACACCAACATGGCTGGACAACGCTGCAAGCGCGGGTATCCTCCCTGGCATTGCCAGTAGCGGTTGCAGGATTTACCCAGAGGTACATTACCATTGGGATCTTCGTTGCAGAGAGCTGGAATAGAAATGATACATCATCATCATCAGCTCACTATACCTGAGGGGTATGGAGCCTACCCTAAGTTAGGGTGACTAGGTCATAGTCAACTATGCTGGTCAAGTGCGGGTTGATTTCACACATATCTTTGCATTTCTTCGCAGGTTGAATCATGTCATGTATATATCATCATAATGAGCATGTATTCTTTTGATTTATTTTAATTTTTGAGCTGAAACCAGTTGTCATTGAGTGGTAAGATTAAGCGCTGCAGTGGAAATAATGTTGGGGGAATTGGCTTTAGATGATGAAGTCACGACTACACAAAATACATGCTAAAGTAGAAGTATGTATATTTACATATGCTCCAATTATTGCCAGATGCATGATCCTTAACTATTCAAGTTTAATTCGTAACTGACACAATCTTACTAATATTATAATATCTTTATCTTATATATAAAATTCTCGTGTCACAATTTTCGTTACCATACTCCTCCGAAACGACTTTACCGATTCTCATGAAATTTTGTAAGCATATTGAGTAGGTCTGAGAATCGGCCAACATCTATTTTTGATACCGCGCGGACAGAGTCGCGGGCGACAGCTAGTAACTCATAAGATTTCAACTAAAATACAACGAAAACGAATCTACTCTTAACAAAATTAAAAAGATAAAAAACAAAATATTACGTGACTCGATTTTTTTTCTAATCAAAATCGATCAATGTAACCAAATAAAATCTTGACAATGACCCAACAATCGGATTGTAATGCATCGGATCAGAAACCGATATCTCGATATACGTGAGTCGTGATTCGATTAATGTTGTGAAGCGTGAACAGTTTGCTTTATCTAAAGGTTAAACATTTGCACAAGGCAATGGAGCGATAGAATTATTTGTTTTGGTGTAAATTATAGGTAGCGATATAAATTATAGGATAAGGAACCTCTACTATCAATTACGCTCCTGTTTATTAGTAAATCGATAGATTTAAAGGCTCATTAAAGTAATATATTATTTACAATTATTTTTTTTACATTCATGAAATCATTGAAAAGTTGATATCGATTAAAATAAACCTATTACTGCATTCATTCATCATCAGATCACTATACGTCCGCACTGAGGGGCTCGAACCCTAAGTTAGGGATGACTAGGCCATAGCCACGCTGGTCGAGTGCATGTTGGTTGACTTCACACATAACTTTAAATCTCTTCTCGGATAAGGTTGAATCACGACCTACAGATTGCAAGTTAAGTGCTTAACCAGTGAGCCACTCACGCTCTATTGTGCTGCAATTCAAGATTTTATTTTTGATTATTTTCTACTTTGAATGGTTAATTTGGCAGCTAATAAATATAAGCATTAAGCGTTATATTATTAATTATAATTAATAAGGAAACACAAGAACAATGGAGTCGTGACATTTGCGTGTAGTGCGGTCATTATAATTGATGTTATTTCGAACTATAAAAAACAATCGACCATCGACAGAACTTAATCGTTTACGTAACTACATTTATTCTTAATAATACAGCAGCGGTGATATACTATTATACGCTTTATTTCTTAAAATAATTACAGTGAAAGTCGTATGATTGATGAGTGAAACGCTAACGCTCGCGTTAACGTTTCACGGATTACGAAAATTACTGAAAGAGCGGCACAAAGATGGCTGATTTTACTTTAATTACTGTAATGGTACAGTTCATTCATTTACGCATTCATCCATTATAAATTAAAAACTGTTTGTAGATAATTTTAAACATGAATTCATTCCATTATTTTTCTAATGCTTTACTGGAGGTTGACCCTCGTTCCAGTCAAAAGCCTAATTCGTTAACAGTTTTGATGGCGCGTACAACACAATTTTAAATATTCGCACATCCTTGCTTTGTTCCAATCGAAATGGCAACCTCTTGCCGCCATAAAGTTTGATTAATACTTACGATGTTTCTGGCATCCGTCGACGTTTTCCGGCCAGTCACAAGAGTGTGCGTTCTCATTGTACAGCAGACCACCGATGCACAGTTGTTCTGTAGCTGTGCCGTTCCAGCAGGTCCAGTAACGCGTGCACGACGTCTCGTGCCCGAAGATTCCGTACAGCCAATCGCAGTGCTCCGTACCAATGGGGGGATCTAAAACAGATCACAACGAGTCTCAAGCATACATACTGGAAGTAACAACACATGGAGACTCACAACCATGGAAGAATTACCAGAAAAACTAAAGTTACTTACTTATTTGCACTTTCGGATATTCACAATAGTTCGATCTCCAAGGATAGTCGCACCCCTCGGTAACTCCTCTGTGTTTCCCAGCAAAGACCAATCCATTAGGACAATCATATTGTACTGCTTGACCATTCTCACACTCCCAATATTTGTCACAGTATTTGTCGTCTGCTACCACTCGGGATTTTGCCTTGCATGGGTCATCTGTTTGTGCACACGATACCACTGCTAGACTTGCCAGAATAGCTGTGAAGAAGAATAAATTCTTAAATTGGTATAGACATAAAAAAAAATGCATAAAAATTATCACTCCTGTGATTTTTGTAGAGAGAGAGAGAGGAGAGAGAGTTTTGTGTCTCTATTAAGAGGTTTTATGTCCGAAAATAAGTTTTTAAATTGTGCAACTTGTGTCTCTAGACTATTCTGTAAAATGAAAACTGTGTAGTTATGTAAGAGAAATTCCCTTCACAGCTCTATATAAATATAAAAAAATAATAGTTTTAAATTTTATAAATCATCACCAGCTCTTTATTCATTCCCACTGAGGGCTTCGGAGCCTTCCCTAAGTGTAGTGACTAGGCCACAGTCAACAACGTGGACCCATTACGGGTTGACTTCACACATATCTTTGAATTATGCAGATATATGCAGGTTACATCACCATGTTTTCCTACACAGTAAGAACATCATAGTATTATTATAAATACGAAAGCTTAGTTGGATGGATGTTTGTTTTAAGATGTCTCCGGAACAGCTCCATGGATCTTCATGAAATTTGGTACAGATGTAGAACATAGTCTGGAAGAACACATAGAGCTCCTCATTAACTTTTTTTTAATTCCACGCGGATGGAGTCGTCGGTGATAGCTAATATGTTATTAATATATTCTATATATCGTAATCTTTATTTAGATTGTACATAATTCGACCTCCAAGACGTTCTCGAGTTGTTAATTATACGTTATCAAATTACGCACGTCCTGAGAGGTCAGTACTAGAGATGATACGCAATACATAGCATAAGATAATCTCATAGTATTGTAATTATAACGTAACACAATTATAATGTTACCTCAAAATATTGCAAGTCAATTCTCACATAAATTATGTCTAATACCAAAAAGTATTACATCAAACTGATAAGAAAATATATATTTATTTATACGAACTATCTTTATATATATAATTCTTCTGTGAGTGTGTATGTCACTGAAGTTCTCTGAAACGACTGGACCGATTTTGATGAAATTTTTTGTGTGTGTTCAAGGGGATCTGCGAATGGTTTAGATTCACAATTTTCATCAAATATTAACTTCATATTAATTTATTCAAATTAAAGACGTGTAGACAGGACAACGTCTGTCGGGTCTGCTAGTACTATATAATATGCTAATATTTTACTTCTTACTAATGACATAAATACGATAGTTATGCGAAAGTTTAGATGGATAGAGGTTAGTTCGAAGGTATCTCCCGAACGACTCAACGGATCTTGATATAATTTGGCACAGATGTAGAACATTGTCCGGAAGAATACATAGGCTACTTATTAAGTTTTATTAAAGTCATATAAAGTAACAGTGTCATCATCAGCTCACTATACGTCCCCACCGAGGGGCTCGGAGCCTACCCTAAGTTAAGGGTGATTAGGCCATAGTCAACCACGCTGGCCAAGTGCGGGTTGGTTGAGTAACAGTACTCAGTTTTTCCTTCTCTAAATTTATATTAAGATTGAAATATATCCTCAAATTCATATAAATTTAGTTCCATGATAGATGTTCTTAGTCGACAGTTCTTGAAGTAACTATATGAACATAACTTCGTAGTTTTGCAGCAGCGAAAGTTCAATTTAATGAGTTCTCTTCATCGTACATATTGAGTAGTAACTGGTCATAACCGTTTGCATTTCCCGTGTGACTAGCTTCCGTTCCGAGAATAACTCTGAGAATTTAATGTCGTAATGATATCTTAGTTAGCATAGATTTAATATCAAGGGTTAATACAAATCTCACATATATCAAGTACTAGCTGTCGCCCGCGTCTCCGTCCGCGTGGATATATAAAAAACTTAATTAGTGTAGTAGTGTAATAATATTTAAAGTTAAATAAAAAGCAGCTCTTCGAGGCATAAATTCGAAAAAAAAATGAATAAATAGTATACAATGTCCGTCTCCTGGCTCTAAGCTACCTCTTCATCAATTTTCAGCCATATCGGTAAAGCCGTTCTTGAGCTATAAATAGTGTAACTAGCACGCCTTTCTTTTATATGTATAAGATGTGTAATAAATTTACGTTGAAAATCACTCGCAATCTTTAAAATTTAAGACGAAATACGTTATAACCTAAAAATGCATTAAATAATATTGACATTTTAATAAAATCGACTAAATAAAAAAGCAATATTTATTTGAAATTTTTTAATATTGTTAAAGGGCTTTTAAATAAACCAATGTAGATAGTCACCTCTTCTTACAATTTGTATTTGGAGATATCTATCAAATTGTTATACGGAACGCTTAGCATTTTGTGTATTACATTTCCATCACTATGATAGTTTTTTTCCGAATCGCAGTGTGTCTACGTGTATTTACTTAATGCTTGACAATTCTTTAAGTAATGATTTTATAGGTTTTTATGAGTGTAATATGCCTTCAAGATAGATTAGATCTTTGTCTTTGACGTTATCATACCGTTTTGCACAGATTACAAGACAAGAGACTGTTTTTTTAAATTAAATGTATTTATTCAATAAAGATTTTTGTCAAATGCCGAGTAATTTCTTCTTATCTTAACAACTTTTATAAAAAGATATACATAAAGATAATAATTATTATCTTGTTTGTTTACAAAAGTGTGAACTATCATTATATTTAATAAAAAAGCCTAGAACTAACGAATTACGCTTCGAACTGTTCTAAGTAGGTTTAGCACATTCAAGGATTATTTTTGTTCCAAACATTAAAGCTTTTGCTTTGTTTACTTGAAGATTTCAACGACGTTCGAGACGTTAAGTCTTTGAATTTGTTTGTTGTAGACAAAGTTAACTATTTGTAAGATCTAAGTTACCTAACTCTAGTTAAAAGCGTACAAACATGACGGAATATTTGTGAAAAGATGATCGTGTATTACGTATAAAGGAGGCAAATATATTCTTATGTCACGAGTACGGCAAGTGAAAGCGCTTCCGAGTTGCATAACAACTTGTTTGACTTCTGACATTGAGTGTCCTGTATTTTACTTGACGTAAGCCTTAATGACATTAAATATACGTGTGCTATCAAAAAAAGTTAAACATTTATAATTGTTTTTGTGAAATTGTTAGAAGTAAGATATTTTGTAGGTATATATCAGTATAAACAAATATCTGACAAAATAAGTGTGCCGGTATTATCGTTTTTAGTTATGTCAGAAAAAAAATAACAACTCCAGTACAAAGAGGATCTTGTGACTTTTGACATTGACAGGAGGGCGTTAGTGTGCTATTGACATATTATAATTTAGTTTGACTTATACCCACTGTTATTTAATGTAAGGCGTATGCGGCTTAATACATTTTATTATTTATTTATTTTTAAAACTATTGCCCGCGATCTCCGCGTTTTGGAGTTAGTTGTATAGGTATTAGGAGTATAGGTGAGTTGTTAACACATCCATCTAAACCAGTCTTTTCCAAAGTGGACGATAACGCCCCCTTGTGGGCGCTGCAGGTATCAAGTTGCGGGTTATAGTAAAAGTTTCGTTTAGAATTCTCCGTTAACATACATATATAGGTCACAATAATGAATTACTTTAATTTGGAATATATTGGTTTTTAAATGTAAAATATGGGGACGCTAAAAAATATTTATTCTCAAAGTGGGCAGTAGACAAAATATGTTTGGGAACCACTGATCTAAACTTTCCCGTTTATAATATTAGTAAGAATTAAAATTCATAATCGGCGCAACTGATAAAGTATCTTACTCTAACTATCCTATATTAAAAAAAAACACTATTTTTGCTGTAATATAACACCATTATTACTTATAATAGTAATGTACGTTTTGACCTTTTATTCACAAACTTTGTAGACTTCATATGAAAAATATTCTTCTAATAAAAATACTTTCTTTGCGTCTTTGCCAAATCTTATAACATACTAGCGATCGCCCGCGACTTAGTCATCGCGGAATTAAATTATCTAAGTTACTCTCACAAACATCACCTTCCAGTTCAAGTTCAGTCAAAATTGGTCCAAAGCGTTTGGAGATTACCCGAAACAAAAGCCTTGTTGACAGACCGTCAATATATATATATATATATTGACGGTATGTATATATATATATATATATATATATATATATAAAGGTCGTGTTAGTTATACTATTTATAACTCAAGAACGGCTTTACCGATATGGCTGAAAATTGGTGAGGAGGTAGGTTTTTTTCGAACTAATGCCTTGAAGAGCTGCTTTTTTTTAACTTACTAATATTATAAATGCGAATGTTTAGATGGATGTGATGCGGATGGATGGATGGGTGGGCTACACTAATTAAGTTTTTTATATATCCACGCGGACGGGGTCACGGGCGACAGCTAGTATTTTATAAATTAGATTTTTGTTTTAAGTAACTCATATACATCTTGTTTGGGTTTTTTTTTATATTACATACAGACACTCAAATTTTATTTATCGTAAATATTAAATATCACATTTATTAGAAGTAGACTATACATGAATTATTTATAAGTTTCACAATACATTACGAAACCGCTACTTAAATAAGATTTAGATAAGAGATTTTAGCAAATATCTCTTGGAAGTTACCCAAAAAGAAAAAGAAATTATTGTTCATTTTCCTTACAAATTTAAAATATAAAATATAACACATAAGTTATAATATTTGTGTTACGAATTTTTTACAAATTTTAAACTAGAAATTGGCAAAAAAATATCATATAGCTAAAACAACGAAGAGACATCTGCCCATTTTAACAAGGTAACGACGACGGAGCCCTCGAGCTTAGTTACTTTTAAAAGAGATTTAGGATAAGTGCCATCTGCGTTCGGCCACCTCAAGCCCGGTGGAGCTGTAAATGCCTACTCAAGGCAAACAGTGACTACTCAGTCACAAAAACTTTCTGTCCATAGACATCCCCAACAAAATACAGAGTTGCAGATGCGTTTGTATTATTGGACAGGGGAGAGGAGCAGAATAAGGACATTTTTTTCCCCGCACCAAATCCAATATTCTGATGTTATTTT